AGTTTTAAAATGTTAATATTTCTCTAGGATAAGCTCTATAAACCATCCGCTTTAAACTTTTCACATTCATTTATATTCCAGAATCTTCTTAAAATGTCTAAGTATGTCCGAAAGTTAGATGCAAAAAGTTAAGCACCCGACAGTAAAATGTTTCAGCGTAAAGAAAGATTTTTTTCTGGAGTTTACACATTTCAGGTCGATGAAAACAACTTAAAAAGTAATGGCCTACAAAAAGCCCAATCAAACCTTCTCCCTCAACCATTCTAATAACCTCTTTAACCACCCCCCATCCCCCATGAAAAGATTTGAATGAATTTGAGCATAATAATAAATCAGTACTCAGTATTCAGCTCTCACTTTCTCCTTCAAACCCCTCTAGGTAGGTACTCAAGAACCATAGAATGTTTGAGTTGAAAAATACAAAAAATCCTGAAACTAATAAAGCCGTAGAACAAAAACACCGAAAATAAAAAAAACTTGAATTTCATCTTAAATCCTTAAAACAAATTGTAGGAACCCATATTTCAAAACCATAAACCTTTAAGGTTTCTTGTTCTTCAACTTAAGAACCAACAACTTTGTATATATCGGAAGCCATATAATCGTGTAATTCTTTAAAAGCCCAACAACGCGGAAACCTTAGGATCATGCAAGCGTGCATGCAAAATTGCAATCACGGATTTTAATATTTCTTAGATTTACATTAAAGTTTGATGTCCTTAAAGAACATTTTTTCTCGATGAGGATTGAAGAAAGGAAGTTGTAAACGTTCAAAAAATGTAGTTTTTTAAATTCTTTCCCATGCTTGTAAAAGGAAAGAATTCCTAGATAAAAAATGAAGGGGATGTGAGAATGATAAATATTTCAAGCTGTCTTCACAACCGGAAAGTTAGGGACCAAAGGTCAATTTAGACAATAGACTTACATTTAGTTCTATTAATGGATGAGACTTTCACTGTAAAGTGCACTCAGAAACATATAGCAAGTACAAACCATTATCTCACCAACCAACATTCACATTAAATCAATTTCATACCACAATTATAAAATACAAACTAGAAATTATTTAATACAGAATCACTACAATCCAATCAATATGGCCCAAGATATTAAATTGAAGAATATTTTGAAAAATAAAAATTGCAAAAACAGAGAGTTGCAGCTCTGGGCAATTGTTGTGTAATATTTTTTTGTCTAAAAGGAAAAAAAGATACAATAGTCAGAGAAAACATTCACTGCTCTTTTAAAAAAAAATCTAAAATATTTAAATTTGAATTTTAAAATAAATGTTAAAAACAAAGCTGTGATTGATTTGCTCGACAGAGTCTAACAATGTGAAAGGATATACTTTAAAGATATATATTGCATGCATTAAACACTTTAAATAACAGAGAAAATCAATATTGGTATAAGCTTTAAAGGATATACTTTAAAGATATATATTGCATGCATTAAACACTTTATATAACAGAGAAAATCAATATTGGTATAAGCTTTAAAGAATATATTTTAAAGATATATATTCCATACACTAAACACTTTATATAACAGAGAAAATCAATATTAGTATAAGCTTTAAAGGATATACTTTAAAGATATATTGCATGCATTAAACACTTTAAATAACAGAGAAGATCAATATTAGTATAAGCTTTAAAGGATATACTTTAAAGATATATATTCCATGCATTAAACACTTTAAATAACAGAGAAAATCAATATTAGTATAAGCTTTAAAATGTAAAGAATCCAGAATAATAAGTTCCTAAAGAGAGTGCTTGCAAAAACTAACTATGAACCATATTTGAATTACAAATCGACCAGTACTAGATTGTTGGATTAAATGGGAAACGGGAAAATATCGACATATTTATGATTTAATTAATTTTATTACGTTTCAATCTTTTCAAAAAAAATGTGCGAATATTATCTAAGATTAAATGTTGTAAACCAATAATAATAATTTTAAATGTTTATCATTATTTTTCAAAGCTCTAAATCTATAATTTATTGAAATTATATATTTATCTAGTTAAATGCTTGGGATTTAGATCACGCAACAGTTTCTGCAAGTTCATATAAGATAAATAATGATAATTGATCATTTAGCAGTATAATCAGAATTTTATCTCTTGATTACCAATAGATAGATAAAGAGATTAGCTGACAATATTTAAAATTGTTTTGTTTAGGATTTTTCTTATCAGCACATTATGATTTTATAACGATTAATTTTTCTGTTTACGATGCAGTTGTGCACAATGCATGATGTAAATTGTATAGGGTTACCCACGTACATAGAATGATACTGCAGAGTCAATCATTCTATATTCTTACATGATTTTAAAATAGACAACACCAGATGGCATTGATTTTAAATGTTCTGTAGGGAAGTTATAGTAAATAGATCCGTCCGAGGGAGATAAAATTCTAGGCATGATTGTTCAAAAATTAACTGTTCTTTGAGAAGCTGGTGACTGTATAGATGTTATAAGTTTCATATTTTCAAACCTAGATCCATCTTAATGTTTTATGTTTCCTATATGAGAATCAGGGGTCTAAGATTTTGTCTACTTACAACAACTGAAACTGAAAAATGGTTTATGTAGTTATATATTTATTGCAGTTGATGACATTTTAAACTTTTACAATCGTGGGAATAGCTTCCCCCCCCAGGCCCCCACCCCTTTTCATTGAATCAATCCTTTGTGTAATCTTTTAAATCTTCCTGTCCCTAACACGCGCAATTATACTTCCTTTCTACAGGTCAAGAACAAATTATGTATTCCATTAATTCTTCATGATAAGCTTCACGATACACTGAACCACTTAAATTGGATACAGAGAGTATTTTACGAAATATCAATTGATCTACTTAATCATAAAGGAAAGTTAATCTACATTTACATTTATTCTGTTGTCTTGTAAAAATTGCATAAAAGGTCTGCTAAAAAATGTTTTAAAATGTCATGTTATGTTGACTTTTCTAAAATACGACGTCTCTTTTTTTGCGTTGAAGTTTCTAATCCTTAAAATATTTTACCGCCTTTTTACCAACATTACTAACCTATGATTCCCCAACAGTGGGAGGTTAGGTTACTTAATGTCCCAATTGGGACATTTATGTAAAATAACCACCCGATCTGTAAAGTTTTCGGGGAAAAATTCGCGCATTTTAATCTCAAAAGACGATAAAATTGTGTACAACTATTTTTTCGGGAAATTAAAATTTTTACTTAACCATAAAAATTCCCTTAACATCCCTATTGTATCCCAGTTGTAAATAATTATTATTTAAACAAATTTGACATTAACTCTACCCCCCTGCCCCCTTTCGTTGTGTTATTCTATCGAGCTGTGAGACTTGGTCTTGCATTTTGAATACTCCATAATCCAGCCTTATCCTAAGCCCTTCTTGATGCATCACACAATAGATATCTCTAGGCTTAAAGTTATCTAACATGCTCTTATTAAATTACCTCCTCCTAATACTCATTTCAGTGAGATTGGGTAGTGTTGGGAGGGCAAGGGGAGAGGGGGGGGAGCATGAGTCTCGTAAACAGATTGGTATCTAGGGTTGTAGATTAAACCGATTCAATGTTTATCATAATTAAATCTTAGTTCTCGTATTCTCACATTTCTCTACTTGAACTCCATGAACAGTAAGAGATGGGGGATTTCTTTTCTTGAAAGTTAAGGTGTGCAGAAAAAATGTCCTAACTGGACAAACAAGGAAAATGCGATTTTTAACTCAATAAATTTGCCTGAACTTAAGGGATGAAAAAAAAATAGTTAGAGGTTGTTATTTAATTAAAAATCAACCGATAAAAACGGTTGAATACTTCTCTGAATTAATGTAAGCATACAAAGAAAAAGAAAATAAATACTACTTGTCACAAACTCAAGTTTTCTAATCACTTAACCCTGTTCCTGCTGGGGGGGGGGTCAATTTGACCCCCCCCTGTAGTTTTTTTTTACATAACTCAAAAAGTATTGGTCTGAGGCTGTTGAAATTTTCTGACTTTTCCTACATAGCCAAAGCCCTCCCTTTAGGCCTAAACCGGGCTTTAATACTAACTGCCTGAGTCCTCAGGCACACTGCCTGAATGACTGCTTTTTCCTGTAACAAACTAAATCTTTGTTTTGACCCACTTCCACTTGTCAGATTTTGATAAAATTTAGCTTTTTGGAAAGTCTTTGACATAAGGAAACAAATTGCACAAGTTTTGCGAAAAAAATTGCAAATTTTTTGCAAACGACCAGTCAAAGGAAATTTGCACATTTCTAGTTTTTCTTGATTAAAAATCAGGCTATTTAAAATTTTGCAAAAATTTTTGCATATTTGAAATGGCATGGTCAAGGGCTTTTCAGAAATGTATAATTTTTTATTTTTTTGGACAAATTTTGTTTGCAAACATTTTACTATATAACTGGATTTTGCGATAAAAAATTCAATTTTTGCAAATTTGCTAATTTTTTTGCAGATTCTAAAAGTAGAAGACAAGAGCTTTCTAATGATGTATCATTTGTCATATTTGGACATCAAACATGGGATTTAGAGGGGGGGGGGCATCAAATTGACCCCCCCCCCCAGCATATCCTGGTTTTCAAGTAACCCAGCTGAGATAGGGTTAATCTGATGTCCTAGACCTTTAAGTTTAAAAAGTTGTAAACTTGTATATATCAATATTGGAAAGTTGAAGTAATCAGTATTCAGTTCCTTTGTATCTGTTTTGGTTAAAAGAACCTGAATTTACGTACAGTATGATTTATTTGCTATTGTAAAGGAATTGAGTTTTTGCCACAAACTCAAATCTTCTGATCCCAATATCTTTGAAACCTGATGGTGTAAACCTTTGATATTTCAAACTTGGATTAATTTATCTATAAGTTTAAATAGTTTGAAATATCTAAGGTCTACTACATTGGGTTACAAAGATATAGAGATTGGAAAATCATAGTTTGTGGCAAAAACTCAGTTCCTTTGACTAAATTCTAACCTGTAATATCTAGATGCACGAGGTGAGGGCACCTAGAAACAAGATCAAGAAGTCCACCATTTGTAACTCCAGGACAATACTGAACCTCAAGCTGTCTGAGGAGGCCGGCCCGCCGGGCCAATACACCAAGCCCTCGGTCGGTCAGTCGTGTTGACCCGTTCAAGCACACGCTACGAACAGAGCTTAACCCAGAGTTTCGTGATAATATCTCCAAAATGGATTTGATAGCTCGGTCTGTCTCAATATTGGCTGAGGTCAAAGTTAAACTTGTCCAAAGGTCTGGCTCCCAGGATAGGAAATACAAGCGTTTACAAGTCCGAGAAATATTGATGATATCGACTGAGGTTAAATATGAGATAATCTTAACCACCAGGCCATCTGGTAGCTTGTCAAACTGACACTTTTTTATTAACTTGTTCTTGTTGATAAGGGGTGTTGTGGATCGTCTATAAGAGCGGGGATGCCTCGGGCTGAGGCTAGAGGGACAAGTATCACGTGTTGCGCGTACGTTCCAAACCGCAGAGCTCGTCTTCCCTGCACATAAATAAAATCAATTAATCAACGAAACATTTAGATCCAGACGCTAGTTGTATTTGATATAAATCTTGATACGGGCATGACTTGAGTTGTTCTGCCAAGCTCTGCTCTCCCGTGACTTGAAGTTTGAATCAAATGTGAATGGAATTAAATAGATAATGGCGTTTTGTGTTGAGATTATATACTGTAAATTATATACTGGGGGCAAATGAGGTTTGGCAGCTCTAGCAGTAGGCCAGGCAAGGTAAGAAGAAGCTAACATAATGTTAAGTTGGCAAGATAGGAAATGAGATGTACAACTTGAGAGGGGGGGGGAGATGTTATAACTTAAAACAAATATTTGTGTTAGATTTTTAATTTGGTCTATGTTTAACGTTTGAATCTGTTTTGTAACTGTTTTTAAATTGTGCTCCCTACAGCTCATGTTTTGACATATGTCTAGATTTAGACCAGGAGAAATCTCACGATTTAAGAACCTTGCATGAAGTCAGATCTTGTGTTCCAAATTAAAATTCAAAGTATTACAATTTACAAACTTAATCTGGTATAGCTGTTATTTTCTTTTAAAAAGCTATATTGAAGGGGAAGAGAGAAAGAAAATCTTATCAGTATCAGGATTGTGTAAATATTTGAAAAGTATTGGGAAGATCTTGAAAATTATACATCATGCACAGTTTTGTCAATCAAATCTAACGGAACCGGATGATTTAAAGCAAGACTGTCAAATATCCCTATAATCTAGATGGTAAAACAAGTAAGATGATCAAACGTCTTTGAGTTATTGCCTCCCGCCCAGATTTGATTGATTTGAAATTAAATTCTGACTTTTGAATTATTTTCGATCAGGTTTGTGCAGAGCTATTTCGTAAGAAAAATTCCAACACATGAATCATGATGGACTTTGACTAAAAAGGAATTGAGTTTTTGCAACAACCTCAAATTTTCTAATTTCTATATCTCTGCAACCAGTGGGTTTAATCCTTTGATATTTCAAACTTAGATTATTTGATCTAACAGAAATAATAGTTTGAAATATCTAAAGTTTGCGACATTGGGTTGCCAAGATATAGAGATAAGAATATTTGAGTTTGTGGCTAAAACTCAGTTCCTTTGAATTGAGATTTTTCACTTTATTACTGTGCACACTTTTACAGAAAGAAACAGAAAACTGTGAAATAAATGTCTTCTTTGTTCTTTCTATAACTTGCTAATGATTTTCTCTAAAAATGTTCAGAGCACTTTTTTAGAAATCGCTACTTGCAAGTTACTAAATCCCAAATGAAAATGCAAGTTATGAAGATTTAAATATTTTTTTAAAGGCTGAAAAATTAGTTTTACAAAGAAAAGTAAAGATAACATGATACCATACCTCCTGTTGAAGAAGTGTCAAATGAAGAAGTACTGAATGATGTAGACGGAGACCTAGGATATGATGAGGGTGATGATGACGGATTGTAGGATACAGTCGGTGATCTTGATGGAACAAGGGAGTGGTATCCGGCATCACTTAACCCTCCTACACTCAACATCAAGCAGTTAGACTTTGTTTCATTCAGATCATGTTTATTTCTTAAACCCAAGGTTTGAATTGCAGGATTAAGTGGCAATGAAATCTATATGATCCTTTAATCAAAGAGTGCTACACATTTTATGCAACTCCCTATCTGAGAAATAATGAATTTTTGTATTTATGTTTTTTATTCGGAGAAAGGGGAAATTTCTGCACCAATTCAAGATTGTGGTTGTATTCTACGTTTATCTACGCTTAAAGTAAGACAGCTTAAAATATAAAATATCTGAAAATAAACCTGTTTTTAAAAATTGATTCACTAATCCTCTTTTATTTATTGACTTGCCATATATCAGACAAAGAGAACACGATTAATTGATTGAATGGGCCTGGAATGCACCACGCCTGGAATGCAGTTAAAGAATGCATCTTACTAGTTTTAAAATATATTTATTTTAATTATTTTCAGAATGTATTCAATATGACAAACTTAAGATCTCTTGAATGAAACGATTACGTTTTACACAGTTTAAAATCTATCTGTAAAGTGGACAAAATTGCCTCGAGAACATTTAAAATCTAACAACTATATAAATCACCCCCCCCCCCTTACCTCCCTCCAACCCCTTAAACCTCAAATTCTTAACAGCCCCAAAAGGTGGTATTAAAACATTAGGAAAGGGCACTAATGAGCTACTATGGGCAGTTTTGGTGACCCTACAAAATTAAATATCGTCTAACCTCTAAATATTCCTAAAATACTCATTTTCAATGGATAATGTTCTAAAACTCACTAATTTTGTACTGAAAAACATACTAATACTATTTTAGCTAGGGATATAAATACTAATAGATATGAAAGACAATATTAGACACAAGTAAACTGTATTTATATTCTGTATACACTGCTGCATGTACATGTACATGACTACAGTCTTGTAAGATTGAATAAAACGAATACGTAAGTGTCGTCATTGCATTGGTTTTTAAAGCGTTCACTGTAGTGAACACTTCTAATTTGAAAATATTAGTAGGTTCATTAAGGTTTGCCGAAGGCAGGTTAAACTTAAATAATAACGGGGGATAGAAATATACAATTAATATGGTTTCCTTCTTTTCAGTCATAGTCATTAGGTAATGGGGTTCAGCACCAATGACAGATGACATGTTAAATAATTAAAATTACCATTCATGATTTTGTTTAATAACAGGAAACTGCTCATGCTGTTTCCGTGGAGGTTAAACGAATTCCGTCATATTGGATGAAATTAACAATTAAAGTTTTGGTGGATTTGATCGATTGATAGATTGCTTGATGTTCCTGAATGTTCAGATAGATCTGTACTACGTTGAGGACCATGAACAGGACGAAGTGAACTTGAACTGGTCTCATCTCTATTACGGTGGATACCTCCAGCAGGGCGAAGCGGAAATAAGCCAGACTCTTCCCTGTGAACCTCGATAGAGGACAGTTTGGTCATTCCCGAGGATTTGGGCCGGGCACCCTGTTCCGTAAAATCTGATAGAGGTGCCCGGGTTGACAGGCTAGACTGGTAGGTTATCGAACTAGGAGCAGAATCTAACGGCAAAGTAATAATTGTTTTAAATAAAAATCTTGAATATAATGCAAACATGACAGATTATTTATACTAGATTTATCAATATAATTTAATAGAATACTTTGAAGATAAATAGGGACTGACTAGATTGACTTTTGAAATCTTTAGAAGTAGGGAGTATGAGGTAAGGGAGGGGGGCAATAGTGAGATGAGAGGAGAAAGAACGGCCGAGTTTCTATAATATGACCAATTATCTACATTCCTGAATCAAACCCAGAGGAACCACCACTTCCAACCCCTATAGGAGCTTCATTCCAGGTTAATGGAGGCGATTCCTGCTCCCTCCAATCTTGAGGATTTTTGTTCTGATTCCTCCAATCTCCAGGTTTAGAACCAACCTCCGAATCTACAAAAAAAAAGATTTTAAAAACTATATCTATTTGATCTTTTTTGTAACCTCATCTAAAATTTTCATATATGATTGACATCTCTGCGACTTCCTTTGAGTAAGAAGATTTCCATTTAAATAAAAATATATGATAAAATAAGATGTTAAAAATATTTGATAAAATAAGATGTTAAAAATATATGATAAAATAAGATGTTAAAAAGATGTTAACAAAGATCAACATCCTAAGTTATCTGTTTCGACAAAATATTTATAATAATAATAATAATCAAATTTTAAATTTTTCTTAGCACACTCTTGTGCTCTTAGAATTACAAAAATTGACTATTACACCACAACAATCATGTTTCATAAGACGTGTTTCGGTTACAGAGTACAGACCCTATATCTATTGTCAAAATTAATTTATTTTTTAAAAATCGCGCTAAAGAAACGTTTTTGATTCATTTTATCATTATGTATTTTTTTGAATGTCTGTTTTTTTCCATCATCTGCAGTATCTTTTTTAGAATTATTTAGTTTTAGGTGATAATTGAAAATTTCTCCTTAAGATAGATTACTGATGTGAAACAATATCAAATACATTGCAGGCTTACGCACATATTCAAACCAACGCCTATGGATGTTAACGTTTTCATTTTTTGAAAAAAGATCATTTCATTATGAAAACGACGACGAAAAATCGAAAACGAAACGATCGTTTTTTGAAAAGTTCGTTTTATAAAAATGGTCGTTTTTAAACGCTCGTTTTTCAAAACGCTCGTTTTTCAAAACGATCGTTTTAATAAAATTCGTCGTTTCGTGAACGATCGTTAACAAACCTTCGTTAAAGATCGTTAACGACGACCCCTTTGTTAACGATCGCTAACGAAGAGAGGAAACCCACCTGGAGGGCATCTGTACTTATCATTGAGTAGTTTTTAAGAAAATATCAAGAAGTTTTAACTCCCCACAACTGTTAAACTTCATGTAAGACGACATTCAATAAAGTTGCATGTAATTTTTTTTCCAAAAACGACCGTTTTTATAAAGCTCGTCGTTTCGATAACGATCGTTAACGACAACCCTTGGTTAACGATCGTTAACGACGACCCTTCGTTAACGATCGTTAACGACTACCCTTCGTTGTCGACGAACCTTCGTTATGGTCGTTTCAAAAACGATCGTTTTTTTAAAAACAATCATATAAAAAACGGTCGCAAATCGTTTTAATAAAAACGATCGTTTTTAAAAACGATCGTTATTCGTTTTCTAAAAGTTCAAAACGATCGTTTTTTCCGAAAACGAAACGATTGTTTTTGAAAACGAAACAAAAAACGATCGTTTAACGATCGTTTACAAAAACGATTAACAACCCTACATACAATTATGTACATTGCACATATGTAACAAATATTATTTTATCAAGATATTATGCATAGCTGAAATTAAACACAAACACATAGTCACAAGAGTGGACAAGAATTTGACAGGCAGTCAGACAGGTAGGTATGCAGGCAGTCAGGTAAAAACTACTTTAATTAACTAAGTAATTACAATGTCTTGCCAAGACTTTCTATCTATTGAACCTTCATCTCTCACTTGTTCTAATTCAAGCTCTAATGGAAGCAATGCAGAAATGTGTTTTTTAAGTTTATTATTGTCGTCGATTCATACTTAGCAGTTTAGTAAATCTGGAAATTATTTATGAGGAAAATAGGGAATACAAATTTTAAAATATTTTGAGTTGGTATTATTTGAATAAAATTAAGTTTATCAAACTAAAATACTCTCCAACAAAAGGTTTGAAAATGAAATTGGCTCTAGCAATAAATATACGTCCATGATTATTTAATCAGCATTGCAAGTATTATATCATATTTATTATTAGATCTTTATAATGGTAATTAACCTGTAAAAATAAACTTTATGCTTATTTACCTTTATTACGTAGTGCCATCTTATCTGTAAAAACCTAATACTATCTATCTTTTTACCCTTCATAATGTATAGCTGATTGTACGTCTGGGGGATTGACGGTCTGTTCGGAATGTTTTGCTGAAGGTTTAGAATATTTTAACCATCATTGTTGAATATACAATGTTCAGGGGTTACATAAGTGTAAACTTGGCTTGAAACATATTCAATATAACCTATCTTATATAGCAGATATTTAGATATTTTTGTAGCCATAATAATCTAAGAATAACTTATTAAGAACCAAGAACTTATAAATTCTAAAGTTTTAACTTTTCAAAAATATTCAAAATAGTAATATGAGTAATTTTTAAAGTTCCCAAAAACGTTTGAAGCATTTTTTTACACTCATTTCAAAAATGTCTATCTTTTATAATTTTTACATAAAATGATTTGGGTGCAACATTTTTTTCTTAAAAGCGACTATTTTATCGCTTAAAATATGTTTAAATTCAAACTGACAAAGGTATAGAGAATGGAAAAATGTGAGAAACCGAAGAGAACATAAAACATTCTTGAGGAATTCAACAAATTAACTTCTTTTCATTCTAACCAACACAACAACAAAGCCTAATTTACACCTCCCTCGTCCCCCCTTTCATCTTTGTAACCAGCTGTTTAAAGTTGAAACATTTAATTATGTTTTATTTGAAAGTTTACAAATTGGCTCGCTCGCTATCCGGCTTTAATAACCTCTATTTTCTGTCTGTCTAGTCCATTTTTCGTTCTATCCATCTTTCATTTATATTTTCAATCTTATTTCCCCACTTACACTCGATCCTTAATTGCAGTACGAGGTCCTCTTCCAACCTGTACTCAATCTTTCTATATCTTTTCTTCTGCAATCGAGGTAATTTGCTTGGCTTAAAATACAATCATCTGACTCGAATCTGGCTTATTATTTAATACTTTACATACCCATTGATGCCCCCTCCCTCCTTTTCTGAATATGAATCCATAAAACAATAATATATGGGGCATTTAATATGATGATAATATACCGCGCAGTTCATATATGGAGACTTAGAATAGATCGAGTGGGAGATAGGGATTCAGGTAGATAGAATATACTAGATAGATAGATGGTTAAATAGACAAAAATAAATAAACGGCATTTAGATAGAAATGATAAAACTTATAAAGATGTTTGCATACTTTAATAAAGTACTATAGGTTCATGTACACAAACACAGTTTCTTTTTCTGTAATTAAGTACAGCATAGGTAGTAGTGTATGTATTCATTGCATTAACGGTATGCTAAATTCATGTGCAGTGCCTGCCTGTGCACTGTTCAGTTTAAATGTTGAAGACAATGGATGAACGAAGAAAATTACAAAAATTATCTAATTTTACAAAACATTTTAAATTCTAAAAGAAAGTTGGTTGGTAACATTTGGCAAGGGGAAAATACTTTTTCTGAACTGTTTTTTTGTAACAAATCTAAATATATATTCATTTATCTATTCTTGAATTGTTGTTAGTATATATCTAACAAATATCGTAGCAAACCCTATATTTGTAAACCTAAACACACCTAGTTATATTACATTGTCTGTAAATCTAAATGTGCTTGTAAATAACTACCCAAAACTTGCGTTGTAATTAACCTAACCTAGCTATGTCTGTAAATTAACTACGTCAAATCAATATTGTGATTAGCTTAACTAAGCTTGTATATAACTACGAAAAACTTGTAATTACGTCCATTAACTTAACCTGTAACACAGAAATCAAAATAAACGTCAGTTGGAATAATACTCCACTGTGATTACAGTGTGAGAGAAATCCTTCTTGGTTATCGAACAAGAAGTGTCCTGAATCACTCTATTAAACGGTGGATATAGATTAAGAATTATATTGAGTTGTATCCAGTAAGACTGAGTGGTATCCTGATTAATAGTGATTATGGTATTTGTGTGAACCTTGAGTTCCTGATTGAGTTGTATCTTGTAAGACAGATACCTGAGAATACAGACTAAGTTGTATCCTGATTGATATTTACTTTGGTATTCGTGATGAAACTGGAGTTCCTGATGGAGTTGTATCTTGTAAGACAGATACCTGAGAATACAGACTGAGTTGTATCCTGATTAATATTGACTATGGTTTGCGTGATGAACCTGGAGTTCTAGACTGAGTTGTATCTGGATTGATACGAGTCTAAAAGTATTTATTGGAGTAGGGCATTTACTACATATATCCATATTAAGTTAGACAAAAACCCTTCTGTTATTGTTTTATTAAAACTGAATTTCTAAATTTTTAGGCATCCTCTGCTACTCAAGGGAGCTGGTGGAGGAGGGGTGACTAAAAAAAGAGTAGTTATGAGAGAGAGGGGATAATATATTAGGGGAAAGAAATTTATGAACGAGGGGGGGGGGATACTTAAATGGGATATAGAAAAAAAGAGGCTGGCTGGATTAATGAAGTTAAAGGGTATTATTTCAAGAAAATGAAAGAATGAGAAGATAAAAGATTTAAAAGAATAAACGATGAGGACGAATTGTGATAAAGTCATAGATAAGTTAAATGTTAAGAAGCCTATCTTTCACTTAAATGATCATTAAAAAATTTGTAAATCGTTCCTTAATGAAGGATTTGTATGGTTTCGGCATGTTTATTTCTTTTTATAAAGTAACAAATGAATAGGATATAATAGAATACTAGAATAGCATGTAATTTAAAATAATTATTTCTTATCAGAATTGTCAAAAGCGAATAAAAATTGGTGAAATGTCGACCAATTTATTTTTTAGAAAAGGAAGCATAGTGTATACATTCTAAGGTTTCAGACAAATTAAATATGATAAATGTATGGCGATAAAATGGGAAGTGGATATTCATATAAAACATCATTATGTTAATTGTAATCTTTAATGCTTAAAACGCGCCGCCTCATTTTAACCCAGGATCAATCTCAACATCAAACATTTACGTTCAACAGCCCCATCTAAAGAACTGGGACAACGAATGTTGTGAAGCTATTTTGGCTCATGACAAACTAACGAATTAAGGACCTATATACAAATTAAAAGATCCTGTTGGTTTACCTTAACCTACTGCTGTCCCTCGAGCTTCTAAACCCAATAATCTTCAAGTTTTACTTTTTATAAGTTAGCGTAAATTTCTATATTTTATTCGTAAACTGTCATTTTAAAAATTACACGTACACCAGTACAGTGCTTCTCTTTATCTAAAATACATTTATGTTTTACAATTACTTCGTCTCCCATCTGCAGGGTCTTCAGCAACTTTCATTCTTTCCCCGTTTCTCAATTTCTTCCTCTATTATTCTTTGAATGTAAATATAGGCGTAGAAATTTTAGGACAAAAAACTTTACAATTCTACCCCCTCCCACTAGACTTAGCTGACCAGAGCCGGTTTAGACTCAACTCCAACAACCCTGGTAAAAAAAGTTTGAATGAAGTAACAGTAAACCCTACTGCACTATTTTAGATTCAGGTCAATAACAATTATTGTAACATGATTTGTTGTTAAATATATTATTTCAAAATCCATTTTTGTTCCGAAAAAAAGAGGTTCCGAGCAGAGGATATGTTAAATGTGTTAAATAGGAAAAGGTGTTTTCCTTCACTTCTTTCGAGATTTTTAGTCACTCAAGCATATATATGGTTGAAAACTTGAGGACCTGTTTTAGGGATCTTAGAAATCCAATCCAGCAAAAAGTTTATCTTATTTTAAGCTCAACCCTTCTCAGTAGACCCTACTGCCGGATGGGGGTGGGGGGGTGGGCGGGGTGAATTCAAATTCGTTTGAAGCTTTCTTAATGTGTTATATTTAAGGTGTAATTTCAAACTTCTAAAGATTTATTAAAAATAATCGTCCTTAAATAGTAAACAAAAAATCGATAGCAAGTTTGTTTTAGAAAACTATGAAAATGCATGTTATTAAAAGAGCGTTTAAAAATATCCACCCGGCCTTTAGCTTTATGATTTTTTGCTGGATATTGTCTGTATAAATAATGAGAATTTCATACACAACATTTTGAAATGCCCTTTTAATAATTGGAATATTCGGACTCCAGGGCTGGGCCATACAGCCAGCTAGGGTATATTCTAAACAAAGCAAGTAAATTAACTCAATGCTGAGCTTCAAATCTGCCAGTTCAATAAATTTAACGAACAGATTAGGGAATAAATTAAAACCTAAAACTCATTGCACAATTTATTGATAAGTTTATTCACCAGCTTTTACAATCATTACATAAAAGGATGCCCTAATAAAATAATGAAAAATAAGCGCAATTTTTTTACAAAGGAATTGAGTTTTAGCCACAAATTCAAATTTTCTAATCCCTCTAGCTTTGCAATTTGATGGTGTAAACCTGTAATATTTCAAACTACAACTATTTGATCAAACAGAAGCCATAGTTTGAAAAATCTAAGATCTACGACATCGGGTCACAAAGATATAGGGGCTAGAAAATCAGAATTTGTGGCAAAAACTCAATTCCTTTTGCACCAAAGTTTTGCTATTACAAAGCCTTTGGTTTACGTATATATTATATTTTGTGGAGGATTGCAACTTGCATTAAAGATAGACTTTTCAAATTAAAGAAGATGGGGAAGATAAGGCTACAGGGGAGTACAAGGTTGGGGAGGGTTATACATTTTTTGTCTCATGTCTAGATGCAGAACATAAATTGATTAAAGCAGTGAATCTAGTCTGAAAGACAGGACTAAACCTGGGCTAACATTCAGATCTCAAGATAGGAACCCTCATAAACCCAACCAAGGGCAAATTCTTTAAATAAATAAATAAATGAGTTGTTTGTTCTTTATCGGAGACTTGGTCTTACATATCTCTTTTGTAAGGTTAGTGATAACAATTAATGATTGAAGATATTCTAAGTTTAACTCCATAAAGCACATTATGCCAATCCAAATAATCTTGTTTAATTTTTAACAAATCTACTTTTACTTAGTTTAATTTTTGTTTTCGTTATTGATGTTTTTTTTTAGGGGTTACACAAAAATATACCGAAATTATTTCGTGCTAAAATTAACCAATCTTAGAACTCTAGAACCATAGACTTTGCAAATATATATGACATAGTCGCATAAACTAGTTTGAACCAAAAGCTTACTTGCAGCAATATTATTTTTAAACACAACGTAGAAATAGTGATTTTCAAATTGTTAGAAAATTCCTGAGATATTGCAGTAAATTACGACGTTAAGCATAGTTTTGGAGTTATCTTCGAGATGCTCGGAGTTTTGAAATACCGGTTAATGTTCTATGTAACTTTTAAATATAAAAAATGAATGTACAAACTTTTTGAAAAAGTTTTTCTTATTCACAATTACCGTAACAATGATTTTAATGTATGTATTCATCTTTGTAAACGAACTCAAAAACAATGAGAATACATTTATTAATTCTATTCTATTAATGGAATTATTTGATTTACTTATAAATTTATCAAGTGTATCTATCGACAAAGGTATTGACTCTTTGCCACAAACTCTGATTTTCTAATCCCAATTTCTTTGGAATCCAATGTCATAAACCTTTCAAACTTATATTTTTTGATCTAACAAAAGTCTAAGTTTGAAATTTCAAAAGTTTTCGACGTTGGAATCCAAAGGTATAGGGATTAGAAAATCAGAGTTTGTTGCAAATAGTCAAATCCTTTACACTAATATTTATGAACTCTATTATTATTTGATAAACCTCCCAATGCATTACAAGGTTTATGTGGTCATGGATCGCAAAACCAATTTATGAGACTATAAATTAAACTGTGAAGGGCAATATGTCCATTTCCTGTTGTCGGAGGCACCCTGTCGAGCTCGAGGGGAGGGATCGAAGGAACTGGGAGGGGGTGTACACTGTACAGTTCAAGTCATAGGATGGAAAAGAAAAAAAAATTACCAAAATGCTTGAGAGAAGATATCATCGCTCAGCCACTCATTTCTTCTGCGTCAAAGTCACTTTTTTGTTACTTTGTCACGTTATTTTTTAAACCCCAGGTCACTTTTATGCTTTTTGGATTTGTGGATCTAGGGACAAATGATTTCACTCAAAAGCATCACTTTCTACATGAGTTTTATCCCACTATTAAGTGTAACTGAAAACAAATGCTGAGCTAAAATCAAAGTGAGTTTTTGGTTTGTATGAGATTTGATAACTCTAAAGTCTGGTTTAACACGCTATCCAGGTTGCTACAACACCCAGTGTAGGAATTGAACTAAACTAACTAAACCAAAGTGGGCAGTATGCTTTAGGCAGGTCGGAGCCTAACACGAGAACCTCTACAATTTCAAATATTTTTCAGAATTTTGGAGCAAATGGGGTTTTGAAAATTCAATTATAATGTAACACATCGGAATATCTATAAATTCTTTTTTTAGTAAATATATTTTTATTATTAAAATCATAAAAGATGGTTGAGTATGTATACCCTCTATCTCTCTGTATATTTCTTTATCTATCCTGTATCACCTAACCTCACTATCTAAATCTACCTAATCTTAAACTATATTCCAGTGCAGCCAGCACAGATAATATTTTTCGGAGGAAATTCTTTGAACACGAAAATATTCCATGTTTTCTTTTACAAGTAATCAACACAATTAAAGTGAATATATCTTTTTATTCTTCATGGAATTTTTTTTTAGTATTATCAGAAACAAGAACGTGATATCAAGCTTTCATGGATTTTAAAAAGATATTTTTCCCTCTAACAGAAACCCTTTATGCTATGGATTTTAAAGCTATCCTTAGCTCTAAAACATGCATTTGTATTCGATTGTTTAGTCGTCTTTATACAATTAACTAATATATGTGTCAAAAAGTGTTGGATTTTACACAAAGAAAGCTTTAAATTATATATCTAATTAAATATACATCCTCTCTCTCTTTTCTCCCTGACTGCCTGAACCACCCCTCAAACTTTCTATTATGGTTTATATCATGTATGCTGTGTATGGTTTATATCATGTATGCTGTGTATGGTTTATATCATGTATGCTGTGTATGATTGTTTATGCACGTAAAATCCCTATAAAACATAAACCATAATATAAAAGTATCTGACGTTTCCCCTTCGAGTTTAAAGCTTCTCTCCTGCAGTCTACTCATCTTGAATCAATAAAACTGAAAGTATAGGCATACCAAGTGCCGATACATTTTTGATCTCAAGTTTTTCTATTAACACGCGATTAGCCATACTGTTCATGATCAGATCAGACTTTTAAAATAAACTTCATTTACGATGGTGTGGTAGTTTTTTTATTTTCAATTCCTCTTAATCTAATCCTTTCAGACCATTATACCATGGTTTAGTTGTTTAAAAATTCGGCGCGTACACTTTCTTTCAATTTAATTTATTTACGTTTCAGCCAATTGTATCCCTTATCTTACTATTCTTTATCTATTTATGCAAAGTTTGTGTCTATATTCTGTCTGGTTTTGTCTGTTTTTTTTTAAACAGCAACTTGTAAATATGTTAATTGTTTTCATGCATGTGCAAGGTTTATTACATTAAATATTAAAACCATCATGATAACTCGTATCTTAAAATAAAAAGTAGTTATCTCTGTTTGTCACGGTTGTCAGTCTGTTTTTGTGTCCGATCATTACTCAGGAACTTCTTTGATCGTTTTGCCTCAAAATATTAGGAAACACGTTAGAACCACAGGAATATTTTTAGTATGGGTTAACAATTAAACAGTTTTTACTTGAGAGGGTTCAGTTTCCAGGCAAAGCTTGGTTCCCAATCTAGTCTTCTATGTATAAAAGTAGTATCATAAACCCTTTGGGTAACTCTTTAGAACCACAGTAATGTTCTTAGCTGGGTTACAAATATATTTTAGTCGGTTGCCTTTTGCATGGGAAACTTAGTTTCGATGCAAAGATGGTTTCCTAAAAACGATATTCTAGTAAGCATAATCTTTCCATCTCTTCATATTTGTTTATCCTATTCCCTGGATTATCTGCCTAAATTTTACAATGCTTTAGCTTGATTTACTTTCTTAACTAAATCCAAACAAAGTAGGTTAAAGCTTGTCTAAGCTCTTAAGTTATCTAAACTGATAAGACCCAGGGAAATATGTCCGTATACTTTGTACATTACAGGGATAAAATATTTCTTATTGCGTAACATTTGTTAGAAACGTAGTGAATATAAAATAGATAAATGACCACTGCACATAACACCTAGAAATCAAACGCAGGAAACAATTTTTTTTCAAGTACCTGGGTCTTGACTTAGTTTAACAACGCTTTACAGAAAGGCGCATTAATGCATTGATAACCGTAAAATGGGTAACAGTTATATTAACTCTAACTTCCTGCATTTTAAATCACACGAAATTCTGAAAAATCTGTTATATAACTTAATACATGTCAATCCCTCCCCCCCCCCCTCCCGCAACAAAGCATCTCTGAACCGGCCTCCCCTCACATAATTTGTAGACCACCCCCCTCTACCCCTCCACCTCAGATCTCCGCCTAATTATCCCCGCCTTTCTAATATAAGACAGGCGAATACAATTTTTGAGTTAATACTCAGACAAGAAATTCTTCCCCCTCTCCCTCCTCACATCCCATTTTCATATTTTTTGGCCCAACAGATATATTGATAACAAATAAGGTTAGAACATATTAGATTTTACCCCCCGGCATATGGCAAATGTGAACACACAAATAAAGTAAAAATTTAAAACAAAAGAATTTATAAGTTAAATTTGTACATTATTTTTTGTTGCGTTTGTAAAATTAATAAATGAAGAAGGGTTCTGACGTGAGAAAGCGATTTTCCAAGATGAAGTATTGGTCTTTGGTGAGTAAGGATTTTTCCTAGCAACACATTTTTGAAATAATGTGAGGCTGTGGCCCCTTTGGGTTATCAAGTAGAGACCAGAGATGATACATTGAGTTCAAACGAGTTATTTTCCTGCCTTGAAGAATATATATCTATTATTTTTGAAATTTTTTTATTTGAAACTTATATCTTAAATAGCTTATTTGAAAAACTTATTTTGTATTTCTTAAATAATAATCAAGAACCTAGTGTATATTTCTTGGTTTGTGGAAAACAGTTGTATCAATTTATGTTTACGGAAACATTGAATAGAAGCTAAAACAAATCCAAAGCATGTAATATCTGGTTAAGAATCACTCTATTTTCTTCCTACTCTTGAATGGACCCTCCTAAATATTTTAGTGCATTAAAGCAGACGGTTTATATTTGGCATAAAGTTTGTGTTCCAGGCTTCCAGCTGGGCAAATCCGGTTTAGGATTATTCTTACAATCTGTGTTTACTGCCGACTCAGATAATCTTATTGGTCACATAGGGGTTGGTGAGATAATTGGGCGCATTGTAAACTTTTATAGTGAAACAGATATGGTTCACGAGGCACATAATTACATGTTAAGAAACAGTTGACTAGTTGGTATTTAAGTTGGTTGTTCAGGTTGTTGCAATCTCTTTGTTTTGAAATTATTCAAAAGTCAAAACCCGAGTAAAATGAGTTTGGTAAACAATAAATTGTGTTTATTAATTTTTCCCTTTGCTAGCGTTTGAAAAGAAATTTGAAATATTCTAACTTTGTATTGAAATTCTTGAACATGCCGATTTTAATGTGGACGAATGACGATCGAAACTAGATTACATCTTTTAAAATCTGTTATTTCTGACAAAAAAAAGTAACTTTAATGCACTAACTTGCTACAGTACTGAAGACGGGTCTGGTGAATGTAATTAAATCAAATTTAAGCAATTTTGTTAAAATACAAGAGTTGCCTGCTTCAGGCCAGGGCGGGCCAAAACTTTGAGCAGTTGAGATAGTGTGTTGGGAAGTGGGAGGGGAAGATTAAAGGGAAGATATTGGATGGGGGGGGGGGGGGGGCATTTGAGTAGATAGAAGGGAGGGGTCAGGACTGGTAGTGTATAAAATTGTAAGAGATGGGAAAACATTAAAATTAGTTTGATGAGAGGAAGGGTTGAAGAGGATGAAGTTATGTTTAATAGGTAACTCAAAATTGAGTTTAAAAAAAGCGAGAGGGGGAAGATGGTAGAAGAGGAATTTCACAAACCCATACTTACGCCTACAATAACACAGATTTATGCCAATATTAGACTGATCCCAATTACTTATATCAATATTGAATACCAAACATGAAGGAAACCGGGAAAGCGGGTGGAAACCAAAAATGCAAGGAATATGATTGTTGGAAAAGAAATTCAAGCACCTTGGCGTAGTTAGAATGCATGATAGAACGTAACATATACGTACTCCAGTCTATATCTTTCAGTTCTGATTGAAAATATCTCCAGACATATTTACAAAGGAAAAATCGTGTATATATTTGTATTTCTATACATTAAACAAAACAGTGGAAACTGCACGCAAATAATTAAACATATTTGTTGAAAATACAGAATATTTAAGTTATCAACAATTACATGGACACCCTTTTACAGTATTATATTCTGATGCAGCATGTTTTAAAATCAAAAATTCGCGTGTGAATTCTTCCCCTATTTACAATTACATACAATTACATAGAATCTGAATGAAATCTATATATAGAAATATTTAACCAGAAAATTGATTTCTTGATCTCAATAAATCTTGCTAGCAAGGGTTAAATTCTCTTAGGTTATTAATACTAGCTCATGCATGCATCCCGTTGTTAATCTTGCACCAATTAAGGGTAGCTTTATTCCAACATAAAACAATCTCATGAGTTACTGAAAGTTTAGGTTCAAACCAACACTCTCAGTGCACTTACACTTTACGACTCAACGTGTTTTCTTTCATTTCAAATTTAAAACTAATTTAACATTTTTTTTACATACTTTACTTTCCCTGCCTCTAAATGGACCTGAGAAAACATCAAAAATTCAAAATGAAATAAAATTCAAGATTGAATGTATGGGAATGAGATTCTATCTCTCCTGGGGTACTTGAAAACCAGGATATGCTGGGGGGGGGGGGGGTCAATTTGACTCCCCCCTCTAAATCCCATGTTTGATGTCCAAATATAACAAATGATACATCATCGGAGAGCTCTTGTGCTCTACTTTTAGAATCTGGAAAAAAATTTGCAAATTTACAAAAATTAAATTTTTATCGCAAAATCCAGTTATAAAGTAAAAATGTTTGCAAAAAAAAATTTGTCCAAAAAATGAAAAATTATACATTTTTGAAAAGCCCTTGACCATGCCATTTCAAATATGCAAAA